TGTCTTTCTCTTTCCCACTAATGTTTCTGGATCTTCGGACTTCCCTGTTTTGGTTCTTGTAGGTAAGTGACTTTGAGGAGAAAGAATGAAATATCTTATGTTGTTGCATATTGAGAACTTACTTAATTTCTTGCAAGTACCTACAAGTACTCTTGACTTTACCTTGTAATTTCTTATAATATATATTATCTAATATATGAAACTTTCCACTCTGATTTCCTCTTGTGTACTATTTTCTAGATAAGAGATCATTCTGGGTGCTTACATCAATAATTTCAAGGATACAGAATGGATTTGGATGCACACAGTTCCTTGAAATGAGCGGCAACCATGTTTCTAATTTAATGGAGCGATTCTGAAAAACTGCAGATTTACAGCTTATTTTTAACAAAGGAATTATTTCCTTTTAGTGAACAAACCATCTGTAACATGGAAAGCTGCGGCACATAAGCCAGTTCCTAGCTACATCAATTCTCACCAGAAGCAAATCTAGCAGTGTGTGTTCTGTATTTCTGTGGTTAATAATGTGAATTAAGTTGCATTTGGTAAATAGAAAGATGTGTGTTGCAAAAGTTTTCCAACATCTCACTCAGAGTGTAATAAACGGTGTATTATTTGCTAGCTTTGTGGCTCCTCTAAGTTTCTGATCGTACGGTCTAAGAAAAATCGATATCTCATTTCTCACATCAGCCAGATGGATAGGCCAGGCAAGGGCTTCAGCCAAGACTTCGTGCCATTCTGACAGGGAAAAAGCGTGTTTTCCCTATTTCAAGCTCTACTCTTTACAAGCAGCTATTGACAGCTTTGCAGTACTTTCTCCAGGTAAGATCTATCATGGTAGAGCTTTAAAGTCTTGCTGGCTCTGCCGTATTTTTTACCCGCCCCCCGTCACTTGCCAAGTACAGTTATAAATTCTTAAAGTGGTTCTTACTTTTGCATGTGCTCGCTAAATGTTGAGATTAGCCAAGGAATAAAGGAAATGTTCTGAATTTACGGTCAGCCTGACTTATGCTGAACCTCACAAAAAAGGGTGTCATGAGATTTTGGCTTACAAAAACCTGGCATCTACACTTCTGTGCCCTCTGATGAAATTAGTTTCCCTGTATGGCATAGCTTGTTATATCTGTTGCAGAACAAGTTGGTGGAGAACCAACTGGCAGTAGAAATGGTGTGTTTTTCTGCTCATGGAACACATTAAAATAATGCATAATTTTTAATACCAGGATTAGGGAGAATATTAATATTGGTATTAAAAAAATCTTCAAAGCTAGAAGAGAGCTGAAAAAAGTTATATTTTGCAATGCACTTTCTTACTAATAAAATTAAAAACATTATTAGTGAAAGCATTGTTTTTCTACTTGTAAGCACAATATATCATAATCACATCCCCCCAAAAAGAGTATTAAAAGATAATTGGACCTTGTGATTGCCAAGTGAATCACTCATTGTATGGGAATGCCAAGTAAGAATTATCCATTTAGCTCTGGTTGGCCATCCCACTCATGGTGCTTATTACACATTATTTTTTTCCATAGGGAGATGGTTCTTGGCAAAAAGAAACTGCACTCATTTGCCTGATTCATGTCGTCTTGTAAAACCTCTGTATTAACAGGGGCTGAGCGTATGAAGAGCCCTCCACGACAGTTTCTTCATAGCTATGTCACCGCCTATGAGATGGTTGTGAAGCTGGCTTCAAGAAAGCTAGTCCTAGCATTTAGTGCATCTAAAGCACTATCAGCACAGCCTAATTCCCCTCTAATACAAGAAATTTAAAATTCAAATGCAGGTACTCCATTTTCCACATGTCACCATCAGGAGAGCTATAGAGGCAGCTCAACTCACAAAGGGAATTTGTGTGCAAATGCAGGCCCTTCGTACACTGGTGGTAAGCAGCAGAATACAAACGAGATCTGTGCAACACTTTTCTATTAAACCCTCTTAAAGTGCAGACCAGTCCAAGTTCTACGATGAATCCAAAAGCTCAGCCTGGGTCTTCCCTCTGCTTTTTCCCATCCCGTTCCTTCAGACCTCGAGGTCGCTGGGGAAGCCAGTCCTCGTGCAGACCTGGAGTGACAACACCGGTCCCCCCCGGGCTGAGTTTGGTTACCATGGGGGCCTCGTCGACACAACCCTACACCGATGTGTTTTATCACAGTGCAACCCTGTAAGCTCAAGGGCTTGGCCCTTCATTTCCCCTTGAGTTTTCAGGCTCAAAATTTTAAACTGAAACCAGGAGGTTCAAACCTAAGGCAATGTTCATTCTCAGAGAATGGAAGCAGGAGCAAACAGTGACACAGGCTTCCCTGATGCCTGCACAAAACACTGAAACATAGCAGGTCTGCATGAAGCTTCTTAAATGACTGAGGGGAAGCTATGGAAGCCAGCTTTTGGTTTGCAGAATTGAATATAGTGAGGCACGGATCCATTTTCCTTCCATTTGTAATTTCTGAAGTGTAGCTGATTCAGATGAAAGGTTCTGTTTTGGCTGATATCAATTGAAAGCTCAAAATCAATGACACCGCATATCAACACAGGCAAAGACAGAATATAATGTGCCCTACTGTACTTTTTGATGCTTACTTTTGTGAAAAGTATACTGTACTGTTCTTCTGGAAATGGAATTTAAAGATCATTTTGTCAGAGACGTCACAAAGTGCAAAGAAACAACATTTGCACAACTCATTTTTAGCTGGTCCAATTTCAAGACAGAAGTTGGGAGTTAAGGCAGGAGCAAAAACCATGACATAAAAGCAATGCTTCCTCCTTTTCTGGACGATTGCATGCTCAGATTACACTTAAAATTCTCAGGGGATGTACAGACTGAGATGAAATATTGGTTTGGTGTAATGGCAGCATGGAGCTCATTGCTATAAGCTATTTTTGTAAAGCATAAATCAGTGCCTGAGCACCAAACCATGGGAGTCTAGCATTCAATTCATATATTATCACTAATTATAATTTTTTGCTTGACGATATATCATCACTCATGCAAGTAGCTATAAGCTATTTTTTCCACCCATAACCACACAACTTGTGCACAAGGCGATGACTGCTGAAAACTGCCAAGCGTAAATAAGAAAGGGATATTTTTGTTATTGGTAATTCTGTGCCCAGTTGAGAAACTGCTCTTTCTCACTACAACCCAGGGCATTGAACAGTTCTTTTCCAAAAGAGTTTATTTTTTAACAAGGCAAGGCAAGCAGAGGCTCAGAGAACAAGATGCAGCAGCCAAGAATCAAGACTGAGTGACAGTTTGCAGTCAGCATGTTAATTCAATGCTTTTTTTCCTTAAAAAAGAAACACCTGAAAACACTGTAAGCAAGGATGGGGTACAGAGGCTGTGAGGGTGAATCTTGACAGCCTTGGAAAAAGTGACTAATTAGTAAGGAGGAGGAAAGGCTCAAAGTTCAACATGCTGCTGTGACTTGTTTCCTTAACTGTTGGCCATCTTGATCAGTTAATTTTCAGCATTTCTCAGCATATGCCCTCTTCCTCAACCTGCAGCTGAGAACATTGCCTCTGGAATTGGGTTCTGCAGAGCAGGTGCCAGCGCTTTCACTCTGGGCTCACAGCTCATCAGTGGCTCACAGATGTCTGCTGGCATCAGCCTCAGACGTGGTCCTCGCTGCAGCCCTTGCTGTAGCCGTCTTCATCCCTGCTTCCCTGGCTGAAGATGCCTTTCTGATCTCCCATGCTTCATCCTTTTTCTTCCTTTCCCACATGTACGTGGGTCAGAGCATGGTGCACCCATTTGGTCCAAGTGCCCAACAGCATCTGAGGACTCTCCCATATCAGCCTTACAGTGTTTGGGGTGGGTTTTTTTGGAAGGAATGTGTCTTTCCACTTAATGTTACCATCAAGTTGCAGCAGCTCCAGCTAGCTGGAATTGCTCTGATATGACAAAGAGGATCTCAGGAGACAAAACGGGCTGAGCCTCATCTCAGCCCCTTGCCTTTAGCCATATTCACCAAAGCCTCCTACATTACAATAAAATCTTGCCGATGATCCTGCTTCAGCCAGACCTGCAGGACCCGCTGCCCAGAGGGCTGGTGTGGTGGCCTCTCACCTGTCCCGATGTCCTCAGATCTCACTGCCACTTGCTGTAGTCTTCTGGCCACTACCAGCCACATCTGCTACCCACGGCTAGTAGTTTGCTGTGGGGGAGTTTGCAGAGCTCTCTCTCGGTAGCGTGCCCAGATAACAGAGGCTAAAGCGAGGTGAGTGTGCACGGCAGGTGTGAACACAGTACACAAAACTGTGCGTTCGAGAAAGGTGGTTGCCCCAAACTGGTAACACCATGTGGAAAGTAGGAATGGTGAAGTTTACTTGAGACAACCATCAGCTGAATTAAACAGTAGACAGGGGACTACCAGGAGATTCACGAGAGTAGAAAGAGTCAGGCTGGAAAGAAATTTCAAGGGAACGTGAGAAGTTATGACCAGGGATGAGACCCGGGAGTGGGACGAGGGAAACGGCAGCCACCAAAGCCAGGGCTCGTGGCTGGATGGTGTGAGCAGCCTGCGTGCAGCCAGCACGCTGACATTGATGGGGTGCAGCGCTGCAGGGGGGCTCGTGGCATGTGTTCTCACCAGTGGATGGATTAGTGGGTAGGGAGCACGTAGAGCACCCACGTCTCCCCAGGGAGAAGCGCATAGTTGGGGAACCAGCACCCCAGAGGACGTGCACCTAACCATGCGTGTGTGTGTCTGTGTGCTTAGAAATTTTGCGATTAGCCATGGAAGGGCACTTAGAAATTTCTAGGTGCTTATCAACATTTGCTAAGTATCTTGAATTGTGGTTTATCTGCCGTGTTGCTGATACCAATCCTAAATGTGTAGTGGAATGCTTGCCAGTTAGGTGCTTCTAATAATCAGATAAATGTCTCCTATCCCCTCTGGCATAGCTTGCAGAGCTGAGCTCTCTCCCTGTGAGGGACGCTGTGCCCATCCCCTATGTTGCGACGTCACAAACCCCGGAGTCACGGGGTTGGGTTGGAGAAGATGACCTTGCAATCTAACCTTTGGACCCCTGCAGTACCCAGCTCCTGCTCTTTCCTCATGTTGACGGTGAGAGCAATTAAGCTGGTGCTGCCTGAGATTGAGGTGCATTTGGCCGGCTCCAGCATAGATGGCCAACTGGTTCTGGACCTCAGGAGTACCCTGGTGGACCCTGTCGTGAAGGTGGAGCTTGTGGGAAGAGGCTTCCTAGGGTGGCCTGAGGAGTATAATCCTGAATGGGACTACGACAAGAGTACCAACCAGGCTGTCTACATCTTCAAAGCTATGAATTTCCACATAGAGGGTAAAACGCTGGAACGAGGCACTGGTTAACTGAACAGCATCTTAGCAATGGGCTAGGGAAGGTGGGAGGTGGGGTTAGACCTTTCCAGTGGGGAGGAATTCTTCCTTTTGCCAATATCCATGTGCTCTGTTTCTGTCCCATGGCACACTCCTTTTCACTACATCATACGTAACTCGGGCTTCGTGATGATCAGTAGTGTTGTACAGAAAGCAGTATTTGAGAGTAGGAGCAGTCCCCCATGAGCTGGTGGCTGTATCTGTGAAGTGAACATTTGTTGCACAAAAATCTATCACAACCTGTTGTCACATCCCAATTTCTCAGGACGATGACTCAGGTTTGCTGATTTCCAGGTCGGGGTTAAGGTGAAACAACACCAGGGATCCTTTAACTCACAAAACTCAATTTTTAGTTGCTCACAACAAGAATTGGCATGCTCACCACCAAGACTAGTATGCTCACAACAAAAATTGCCATGAAACTATGTCAGTAAACTTTGTAACGTGCTAACCATACATCACCAAACATATATTACAGGCCTTGCTTATTTGGGAATCAGTTCAGGAAAGACAATAAGGAGAGCCCTCCCATTGAGTCACAAGGTTCAGAGCAGATCCCCTTGCTTTCTAGACTCCTTCTCAGCGAGGAGCCATGGGGTGGCTGGATCCTCTCCTAGTCCCACACTTGATCAATGGTTTATATCTAAAGGTATGTGGTATAGGGAATACAGAAAAGGAAAAGGGAGAGAGGAGAAAATTTCACCAGCCCTGGATCCAGCATTGGTCCAGTCAGCCAAAGAGTGCAGTTCCAGTGGGCTTGCACACATGGGGCTTGCATTTGTGTCCTTTTATCATCCTTGCCCCTCCTTCGGGTGGGCACTCAAACTCATTAGGCTAATTAGGTAGCCTTTGGGCTGTGAGCTTGGGGGTTGTTTGGGGAGTAGCTTCCCCTTCCCTGCAGAGGTGATCTTTTGCCATCCACAGTGAGCTGCCCTGCTCAGTACAGCACACCAGAGTGGGGAGCTGTGCACCCTCCAGCATGCTCTCCCCCTCCTGTTGCTGATGGGCTTCTTTTCACCTGGGGTTCCTTGCTAAGCAGAGTTAGTTGTTAAGCAGAACTTACCCCACCACAATGTTTGAGACATTAACTTTCAGTCTCTCACACCTGTCTAGCAGCACGTAGGAAAATTTAGTCACAAACACATCACCGATGCATTCTTTGGTCATCTAAAATGCTTGCCTTCAGTGTTCTTGTTGATATACCTATCAGTGAGTACCCACTGGGTATACAGGCTTTGTTATATTTGCAACTGTAGTAAAGGTGTTATTAGAGTTACTGCTGTATCTTTACCGAGAGGCAAGAAACATGTGAGACATACACCGAAAACACCTGCAGAAGTGTGATTATTTCACTGAATCACAGAATCACAGAAGGGTTGAGGTTGGAAGGGAACTCTGGAGGTCATCTGGTCCAATGCCCCTGCTCAAGCCGGGCCACCTAGAGCCGGTTGCCAAGGACCATCTCCAGATGGCTTTTCAATTTCTCAGAGGAAGGAGACTCCACAACCTCCCTGGGCAACCTGTTTCACAGTGAGAAAGGGTTTTCTGATGTTCAGAGGAATCTCCTGTGTTTCAGCTTGTGCCTGTTGCCTGTTGTCTTGTCGCTGAAAAGAGCCTGGCTCTATCTTCTTTGCACCTGCCCTTCAGATATTATACAGCCCAACATGCACACACATGAATGCAGAGCTAACTATTAAAATGTACAGATTTATTAAAAAGAGTAAAGTCAGTGGCATGTAATCACCACCTAAGACAGTGAATTATTCCAGAGGATGCTTAAAGCAAAGGAAAGCTTCCTAGGAGGTGCAGTCCCCTTTCTCAGCTCCTCTTTCTTAGGGTCTGTTGGAACTCCATAAACTTTAGTCTCCAGATCATAGGTGGTTGCTGCCCTGGATTAGTTAGACTGTACCAGTGTGTGGAAACTGCTTTTGAGCTACAACCTGCAGTGGTCAGGCTTCATTTCCTCTCAGATTTGAAGGCTCTACCTCACCCAAAGGTCATTATCCCCTTACACATGCATTAGAGTCTTAGTCTTGCTGTACTGCAGCATGGTGATGCTTCCTGTAGGCTACCAGATGTTACAGCCCTGACAGAAAAGAGGGAGAAACGCTGAGTGTTGGAAAAGTTATTTATTTTTGCCATTATAAGAACAAGTATCCGTAAAGCACCTCGGTTCTGGATCTTTTTGGCTAAATGTTCAAATTGTTGTTGCTTAAAGACACACTTGAACCTCTATTCTGCTACCTACACACATATTCCTGTTTTCAAAAGACTTGAGCACCCACATCCTTGCTAATGCAGTACAGTTTAATAACAGATTTTTACTACTGTAACTCAAATGACACTGCTGTATCTTCTGCCATCTTTGTTCTAGGGCTTGCAACAAGATGTTTCTTTTCTAGCATAAAAGGTGCATTGTAAGTGTGTTGGGTCTGGCTGAGATGGAGTTAATTCTCCCCACAGCAGCCCTCGTAGTGCTGTGCTCTGCATCAGTAGCTAGAAAGGTGTTGATAACACACCAGGGTTTTGGCTGAGCAGTGCTGGCACAGCATCAAGGCTGTCTCTCCAACATTTTTGCCCCCCCCCCCTCAACGGCAGGCTGGGGCAGGGCAAGATCTTGGGAGGGGACATAACCAGGACAGCTGACCTAAACCAACCAAACAGATGTTCCATACAATATGACGTCAGCTCAGATATAAAAGCTAAGTAAAGGGAGACGGAAGGGGGGCATTTTTGTCTTCAGGAACAACCACTATGCCTACTGAAGCCCTGCTTCCCAGGAAGTGGCTAGACTTGCCTGCTGATGGGAAGTAGAGAATAACATCATTTGTTTTTCTCTGCTTTCGTGCACAATCTTTGCTTTAACTTTATTGAACTGTCCTTATCTTGACCCACGAGCCTTCTGTTATATTTTCTTCCCCCTGTCCAGCAGAGGAGGGGGAGTGATAGAGCAGCTTTGGTGGGCACCTGGCGCCCAGCCAGGGTCAACCCACCACAATAAGACTTCAAGAGTGACATGTAGGGAGCACTTTGGGATCCAGGATGAGGGAAAAGGGAGGTTATTCTCTTGCTCTGAAGTCTAAGCCTTGGGCAAGCACCACCAAATAGGAGGTGCCTTTTTTACCAAACTCTACTTAGACTGGGACAGTCACTCAAAAGGTCGTCAAGACAGCTAGAACATGAGGATTCTAATAATTTTGTGGCCTCCCTCTAAATTTGGGTACAGATAGCTAAAGGTGACAATGTTTACATGTGCAGACATGAATTCTTTGCACAGATGCTCAGGAGGACTGTGATAATTCCGCCATGTCACATTCTGTGCAGTGAGGAAGACTGTCCTCTGGGTTAACGGCGGGGCTCGTGTGGAACGTTGAGCAGCCTCAGCTGTTGGCGTTAGGAGTTTGCGCACGTGGTGTTTGGGAATTACCCCGTATCCAGCAACAAGAACTCACCACGCTTTGCCTGTCTGTTCACCCTCTCGATGCAGACCTCACTGGTGATAGAAGCTAGGAAGGACGTAGTTTACTTCTGCTGCTTCAATCACGGCTCTGTGATCCTTCGGATATCCCTGGAGAAAAGCGTATTTTGCCCTGGAGAAACCATTGTCTTCATGACAGATGTTGCCAACAGGACACGCAAGTATGTTAGAAAGGTTGTTTTTGCTGTACGCTGCATTGCCCTGTATAGCGGTTTCAGCAGCAGGGGAGAACAACGCTCCTTGGAAGACCGAAGCGAAGTGACGCGGTTGGAGTTGCAGACAGACACGGCTCCCTCTGAGGCCACCAGAGTTACCAGCGCGCTGGTTCTGTCAAAACCCATGCCTGTCACCAGCACTCTCACAGAAAATAAAATCATGGCATTCAGGTACGAGCTGGTAGGCACCTCTGACCTTCCTTGTACCACATCCACTGTCATGGGCAGGGTGCCCATCGTCATAGCAGCCACACCGGAGAGTTTCTCTGTGGAGCAGAACACCGTGACTCTGCAAGAGAATGAAGGTGACATCGCAAAGGGGGAGAGCCTTCACAAAGACATTTCTGAGACTGACCCAGGAGCAATTGCCAGCAGATCCACAGAATAAAAGATTTCTTCTGCAAAATCCATGCACACCAGCTGTATGCTTTCACAGGAGGAGCCTGCTTTTGCAGCGATGTGCCAGTGATTCCCAAAACAAGAGGGGTAAAGCTAGCCCAAGGTCAGGAAGGCGAGTAAGGGGAGCCCCTAATTCTCTTAAACTGACTCCTGATAACTGGATAAGGAAAAGCAGAAGACTCAGCAGTAGCCCAAGCAGCGAGGGGACACTTTGCAGGCCCAGAGGATGGCTGTGCTCCCGTCCATGGGAAAACAGCTCCGTGCGGAGCACACCCTCGGCAGGTGGTGTGGTGCTGGGGGGAGGCTGAGACAGCGGCGATCATCCTGCCGTGCAGAAGGGACCGGGGCGGGCTGCAGAAGCAGCCGGTCCTGGGGACATGATGTGAGTGTAGCCCACGCTGCAACCACACGCGCATGTGTGTCAGTGCGGACGACCAGAAGGTTTTGGGGTTAGAAGGTTGTTTAGGACTTTATTGGTGTTTATTAACATTTGCTAAGTGTCTAGTAATGCGGTTTATCTGCCGTGTTGCTGGTATCAAACTTGAACATATAGTCCACCGATTGCTGGTTAGCTGCTCTTAATTGAGTAAATCCCTCTGATCCTGCTGTGATTTAAGCCATGGGAGCGTTTCCACATTTTGTTCCACAGAAAGGGCGGTGAGGAGTGGGGAAGATAAGCTGAAGACCAGTGGGTGCCCCTGGGCCCCCACCTATACCCAGCGGCCCTTACAGGACCAAGAAACCACCATTCACCCATGGTGATAGAAGAGAGCAAAGGGATAGCTTCTGTCCCATGGGATAGAAGACGCAGGGTGCAGCCCCGCTCCACCTCCCTGCTCCATCACCAGACTGGGGCAGAGGCATGGCGTGATGCCTCCTCTGCTGGTGCCTCGCGAGAGATGTCTCGCTCTCACAGAGAGCCCCAGCTTTCTCCTCCCACCCGCGGAGACTGCTTAGAAATGAGATTACACTTAACCAACTTTAATTTACAGCAGCAGCAGGTCTGTTAGCGGCGACCTCCCATATTCTTTCGGCAGCAAATTGCCATGCAGCCCCAGCCCAGGGTTTTGCATGTCTGCAACTATCTCCATAGCTGCCCAGGTGCGTGGCGACACGTCGAGGGAGCCCAGCATTTCTCCCACCGCCTGCCTTTCACCATTCCCTGT